GTTGACTTGTTGCCTGGAAGTCCTGTCCCATAGTGAGAGAGGGGTGTTCAGGTCACCCACTATTAATGTGTTAGGTCCTATCTCTTTCTGTAGGTCTACGAGTGTTTGCTTGATATATCTGGGTGCTCCAGTATTGGGTGCATACATGTTTATGATTGTTATGTCTTCTATCTGGATAGTTCCCTTTATCATTATACAATGGCCTTCTTTGTCTTTTTTTAAGTTTTTGGCTTAAAGTCTATTTTGTCCAATATAACAATAGCTATTTCTGCTCAATTTTGGTTTCCAATTGCATGGTATATCTTTTTCCATCCTTTCACTTTTAGTCTCTGTGTGTCTTTACAGGTGAGGTGGGTCTCTTGAAGACAGCATATACTTGGGTCTAGCTTTTTAATCCAGTCATTCTTTGTCTTTTGAATGGGGAGTTTAGTCCATTTTCATTTAGAGTAATTATTAACAAGTGTTGTTTAATTCCTGTCATTTAATTGCTAATTGTTTAGGTGATTTAAATTTTTTGATCATTATTTCCCCTTTTATTTCTCTTCTTCAATATTGTTTGGGAATTTAAGGTGGAATGCTTTAGCTTCTTTCTCTTGCTAGCATTTTTGTTTTAACTGTGGGTTTTGCTTTTTCTTGTGTGTTCATGCTGGTGGTCACCATTATTCAGATTCCAGATGAATGACTCCCTTCAGAATTTCTTGCAGAGCTGGTCATGTGGTAAACTCCCACAACTTTTTATCTGGGAAATACACTATTTCTCCCTCATTTCTGAATGAGAGCCTTTCCAGGTAAAGAATTCTTTGCTGGCAATTTTTTTCTTTTAGTATTTTGAATATATCATTCCACTTTCTTCTGGCCTGTAGGGCTTCAGTTGAGAAGTCTGCTGTTACTCTGATGGGGGCTCCCCTATAGGTGAGTTAACGCTTTTCTCTTGCTCTTTTTAGAATTCTCTCTTTGTCTTTGAGCTGTACAAATTTAACTATACTGTGTCTTGTGGAAGATCTTTTTGGATTGAATCTGTTTTGGGATCTTTGAGCTTCCTGCATCTGAAGGTCTGCATCTCTCCCTACACCTGGGAATTTTTCTGTCATTATTTCCTTGAATACGTTTTCAATACCTTGTCCTTTCTCCTCCTCTTCTGGAATACCCACAGTTCGGATGTTAGAGCACTTGAGGTTGTCTGCTATATCTCTTAGATTTTCCTCATTATTTTTAATTCTTTTTTTCCTTTTTTTGTCAGCCTGTGTTATTTTGAAAAGACCATCTTCAAGATCTGAAATTCTTTCTTCTGCTTGCTCTAGTCTGCCGCTCAAGCTCTCTATTATGTTTTGTATTTCATTGATTGAATCTTTCATTTCTAGGATTTCTGCTACACTCTTTTTTTAAGGTATTAATCTCTTTGTAAGTTTCCTCCTTCATATTCTGGATATTTTTTCTTGTTTCATTGTGTTCTCTAATTGAGTCTTCTTTTATCTCTTCAAGTTTTCTTAAGATCATTGCTCTTAATTCTTTTTCAGAAATTTCAAGGATTCCCTGTCCCATGGAGTCTGAAATTTGAGCATTGATTTATTCCTTTGGTGATGTCATATCTTGTTTGTTTGTAGTTCTAGTATTTTTTCATTGACATTTTGTCATCTGGTAAAGGATTTGCTCCTTCTATTAGTCTGAGGTTGGCTATGAGGATATAGATTTCTTACTCTATTTGCAGGCTTTACTGGTGACTCTTCTTATATCAGTGTAATTGAGTGAGCAGTACGTTACCTGTAGAGTGGCCCTGTCTGCTACTGTGGTGGTGAATTGTCCTTGCATGACAGTAAGTGTGGTAGTGGCTATATTATACCACCTTGGGTCCTGTTCCAGAATCCGTGGTCCTACAATTAGCCCCCAGCACTGCGTGTGTCTCAGCTCACCTCAACAGAGCCTGCTGTGGCTGCAGTCACTTATCTCTGGGTCCAAGGGGTTGGGGCCACCAGCAACACGCAGGTCTGGGCTCACCTAGCCCTAAATGAATTTGAATCTGGTGTTGCCACCAAACAAATTTTGAAGTGAAATTTAGGGGAAAGTGACCTTGGACATGTATCTCCCTGTGGTAATATGCATTTTCCTGACCTTGAGTGAAGTTGAGCATCCTTTCATGTATAGATTGAAAATTGCATTTCCTCATCCATGAATTACCTGCTAGGTCCTTCATCTATTTTTCTTTTTCATTGTCCCTTTCTTGCCTATTGAGTAGTTCTTGTACTTTAGGGACAATAATCCTTTGTCACGTGCATTGCAAATATTTTTTAGCAGTCTTATTTGTCTTTTCAATTTTCTTATGGTATTTTTTTCCAGATACAAGTGTTTTACTAAAAAAAAATGTTTCTCCTGGGAGAACTTAAAGCATGTTGCACAAATTGACTTGATTTTCTGGAGATTAAGTTTATGTTTTATTAGAAGACATTGAGGCCCAGATTGATAAAGTGACTGCCCAGAGGCATACAAGTCTAAAGTAGAAAGAAATCTACTTGAGACTTCTGAACTTCTTTATCAGTACTCTATTAGGCTGTCTCACATCTATCATTTCTCTTTATTTCCTGTCTTTGCTTTTTTTTTTTTTTTTTTTTTGTATTTTAGATATTTGCACCTTCTACCTTCACTTTACCAAATAGGTTTAAAGTCACTAATTTCATGAACCATATTTAAGGTTTAATAGTTACTATCATATGTCAGAGGCATACATAATCAAATCTAAGTTTCAAGAACTAAGTCTTTCAGTTGTCCCTTGCACAATGTTTCCCTTCTGACCTCTAGTTTCATCTTTCTGTCACTTTGTGTGTCTCTCACCAGCTCTTTTCATTACTTCTTCAAAATATATCCTATTGTTCTAATTCCCCTCAATGCTCCTACCTCAGTTTCAGGAACAAATGTATCTTTTCACACTCAGTTATCTCTTACTAAGCTGTTCTCATCAGACACTCTGAATCTCAGATTTTGTCTACCGTGTGACAAAGCAACGACCTGAAGAGTGAAAGAGAGGCAATGAGGAACTGGCTGGTTAGCTCAGTTGTCAGAGTGTGGTGCTGATACCATTAAGGTTCTGGGTCCCATCCCTGTACCAGCCAGCCACCAAAAAAAAAAAAAGAGAGAGAGAGAGAGAGAGAGAGAGAGGCAATAAATAGGAAATAGCTGGTTTTGACTACCTGGTATTACTTTCTAATTAAATTGCTTAAATTGAAAAACAACAATACCCAACTTTCCCAGTTGTATTAAGTGTAGGGAAAAAGAGCTAACAATGCATTTTAAATATTCACAATTACCTAAAGACAGAATGCAGTGATGTATGTTAGAGTACTACAGAAGTGTGGCATATGGGTTGATTTTCCTGCATGTCCTTTTACTGTTTTGATTTTTTTCAGGTGGATAAAGTAGAATCCTTCAAGTATAGTCAGAGCACTAAGGATAGCCTCCATGCCAAGTACAACACCAAAACCTGTGCCACCGTAGTGGGTGATGACCAGTGGGGACACCTGCAGTTGGATGCTACCTCTGTGTACCTGCTCTTTTTAGCACAAATGACTGCCTCAGGTCAGTACAAGGAGTGAAGAACATGGAGCACTTGCTCTGGTGCACATGGCTTCTGTGGAGGTATTGCCCAGAAAACAGCATAGCTGTTTACATCGCTCAAAGAAGCACATTGGAAACATAATATTTTGCAAATTTTATACAGGTAAACAACTCTTTGAGGTCTAGTTAGTATTCTTTTATATTGAGAAACAAGTCTGGGGTAAAAATTAATATTCTTTTAAATTAAGAACCAGGAAGTCTGAGGTAGATCTTCTTTAGACAGGTTTTTTTTTTTTATTGTTTATTAATCCTCAGATACTATGAGATGGAAAGAATGGCTAGGGTCTATTGCTTGTTCTCATACTGTATACTGACAAGCCTTCAGTTAGTATAAATATAAATTGAATCACCTACTTCACATTACTCTTTATGAATATATTATAAACAAGGCATCTGTCTATAGGTATATAAATTATATTAAGGAAATTAACTTAGGAATCAGAATCCAAGTATTTGTTTTTTTATTTTTGAATAATACACCCTTTTCAGTTGGTTTTGTTATTAGCTTTAAATGCTTTACCTGAAAAAGGAAAATGTAAGAAAGAACATACATAATTTCCTTTTTTTCCTGCTAAATTTGGGGGACGAGGTGATGAATCTGATTGCACCCAGTTTATAAATTTAATGGGACCTTTGCCAGATCTTCCTGAGTAAGTTAATATACTTCTCATGACACCACATTTTAGACATTTCACTTTCTTTGTCTTCCTATCTGTTACAGAGCTCCTTGGTACTAAGGGCATCCAGGGTGGGAATTCCCTCAGAATATTCTCCTTTTCTTACAGAGATAAATATTTGGTAATGAACCCTTCTTCTTTTTCCACTAGTGAAGTGGAAGCTTTACCCTGGGCAGGGCAGGGTGACAATACAAGGCCATGACTGCCCTTGGCCCACCTCTCTAGTAGGGTGGAGGTCCCATGCTGGGAGAGTCAAGCTGATAAGATTAGAGGCTACCACCTCTGTCCAGCACTCAGTTTTTAAAGCAAGGGTGTCACTCTAGAAGAAGTGGGCCACTGTTCTCATTACCAGCTCTAGAACACTGGCACAGAAATTTTGCTGTGAGGCGAGGCAGGCTGTAAGAACAGAAAGGTCCATACTTCTTCCCAAAAGAATTACTTTATTTGGAACAGCTTATGGGAAATTTCAAGCCTAAGGGCCCCCTTGAAAAACAATGGAGATTTTGATTCTAAGCAATTAAGAGGAGGCTAGTAGCTCAAAAGGCGCACAAAACTAAATCATAGACTAGCTAGAAGTTTTGGTAGAGAAAACCAAGGAAAGAGATAGCTAAAAAGGGCCCTGTTAGTTTTGCAACAAGTCTCAAGGACTTGCCTCAAAGACCACCTGAAAAGGGGCCTGAATTTAATTGGATATGACTATAGAGCAATTTATACCTCAGGGCATTGTACAAAACAATAAAGCAATCAGTTGGAAATGAGTGGAGGCAAGCATCTGCTTATGATACCAACAGAGGCAGACACTTAATAGATCAGGGAAAGAGACAGTTGATGAGGCCCCTGCTGAAACATTGTCTTCCCAGGGTGACAGTGCACCTACCCTCTGAGAAATATCAGAAGCTGCATACCGTGGTGAGAATAGACTTCACTGAAATCCAGCCAAGTCACTAAATAAATAAACAAAAACAAGCTCTAGAGAGGAAAATGTCAGTATCTAGAATTCTTATGTTATCTAAAATAGCAAGTTTTCAACAAAAATTTATGAGGCATGTAAAGTAACAGGAAGGTATGAGCCATACACAAGAAAAAAAGCAGGTAACAGAAACTGCCTTTGAAAGAGCCCATATGTTGGACTTAGGAGACAAAGACTTCAAAACAGTTACTATAAAAAATGTCCGAAAATCTAAAGGAAACCATGCTTAGAGAAATAAAGGAAGATATGATGAAGTTGTCTCATCAAATAGATAATATCAATCAAGATAATGAACAAAGTATAGTAAAATGTTAATGGTAGAGTCCAGACGGTGGGTATACACGTAACCTCTATAAAATTATTTCATTTTTTTTTGTTTGCTTGAAAATGTTTATAATAAAATGTTGGAAAAATAATATGCATAAATCTTTGACTCAGCAATTCTACTTCTAAGAATTTACCCTGATAAACTGGCACATATGCATAAAGATATATATACACAGATATTCATTGCAGCATTGATTGTAGTGATGAAAGATTACATGCAACCTAAATGTCTTTCAGTAGGAAACTGGTTACATGCATAGCCATTCAGCAGAATGCTATGTAGCCATTAAAAAAAAATTAGATAGATATATTCGAAATTATCTCCAAATTACATATGTAAAAAGCAACGTGCAATATAATATACTACCCTTTGCATGATGTTTATATATGCATGATATATCTCTGAAAGGATACAGAGGAAACTGGTAAGACTGGTTTCCCCTGGAGAGGAGATTTAGCAGGGGTGAAGGTGATGTGGTTCCAGGTAGCAGGAAGACTCTCTGTATACCTTTTAGTAGAGTTTGAATTTTTTCATGAAAGAGTATTACTAAGTTCTGACTTGTAAAGGGCGTTTTTGTAGTAAGAATTGTTTCTGAACTGGAATGAGTGTTATCCAGGGCACTTATGGTGGAGTTCTTTTGAAAGCTGACATTAGGAAACATTTGACAACTACTTTACATCATGCTTCTAAGAATGTCAGAAGACTTGTTTCCATTCCCAGACCCTTTTAAAGAAGGAGGTTTTTTTCCCCTAGATCTAGTTGCTGTAGGTATGCTCATTGCTCAGCAAACTGGAAATTCCTGGCTTTTTCTGGCTATAACACAACTATGCAGCTGGCACATGTAATCATTTCCATTAAACCAACACACCTGTTTTTGTGACAAATGTGGATACAGAAACTTTTGTTTAATAGAATGGATTCCTCCAGGAAAATATGAGAAACTTAAAAGTTTAGTCTTTACAGCTAACCTGATATTCACTTCTTCCTGCTTGTTTATGGGCTAGAAAGGAAAAACAAGCTTCCTGATTTTTCAATTCTGAAATGATTTCTTAGTTTAGTTTCTTAGTCTAAGCAAAGGCTTTAGATAATATGTACACAATAATATTTATTGTTGTGAAAGAGATGTTTTAAAAGTTAATTTCTTAGTAAATTTTACACATATAAAAAGTTTTAGTGCTCAGGATTTAATAATTTCATATAAAATTTTATGAAGTGTATCCTGCAGTTTTATACCTTATTTAATATGATTTTACTTTTTTATACAACTTTTTTAATTACAAAAATAATGCCTATTTGTTGTAGAATACTGTAAAATTACAAAGATGTCCAAACAAAAAGAAAATAGAGTTACAAAGATATCCAAACAATAAGAAAATAGAGCTACTTTGAACCTCACCACGAAAAATGTCTACTATTAACATCCTCCTACTAATATACTTTTCCATAGAGTGGGGAGATTTTAAACAAAAGTGGAGCATATTGTAAATATTAGAAGGCAATACAGCATCTTGGTTAGAAACTCAGTCTTTGAAATGAAACAGAAGTCAACAGTCAATTGAATCTTGGCTCCACTGTTTATTAGTAACATGACCTTGGATAAATATTTAACCTGTCTAAGCCTCATGCAGAAAATAGAGGTACCCACCTCTTAGGGTAGTTGTAAAAATTAAATGGATAATTCATGCAAAACACTCTGTATGTCAGCCATAACTATTTTTGTACAGCTTACATTTAGAATAACTATCATTTTCACTTTTAAAATGATTTTAAGTCCTCCTTAAAGTCCTAATTTCATGTACTTCTTGCTTAGTATTTAGATTCTTTCCAACTCATTTTTGGAGTATTTGTCTTTTTTTCCCCAGATGCCTAGGTTTGCATATGTAAGCATATTATAAATTAGTTACCTATAGAATCGGGAGTCTGAGATAAATCTGTAAGTAATAGTAAAAATTCTTCCATGTTAAAATTTGCTTGTATCTGACTTAGTTGGAAACTAGCCTAGGAGTGATTTGTGGTCTTGTTTTTATGGTTAAGTAGTCAAAGTGCCTTCCATTGTTCCTCTGGCTGCCGGTATAGCTCATAGCGATCATTAGTCAGCTCCATAACTTTATTCCCTTTTTCCTCAGGGCTTCATATCATTCACAGCCTAGATGAAGTCAATTTCATACAGAACCTTGTATTTTACGTTGAAGCTGCATATAAAACTGCTGTAAGTACTCATTTTGGATTGGATTTTAAACATATGATATTTCTTGTTTTTAAAATACTGGGCAGCCCTCACAAAGAAATGATAAATGCATGAAGTGATGGGTATACTAACTACCCCAACTTGATTACTATACAACATATATATGTATTGCAACATCAGATTGTACCCCGTAAATATGCGCAACTACAATGTGTCAATTAAATTTTTTTTTTAAATGCTGGGCAGCCCATTTCTTCTCTTGATGCTGCCCCTCAGAGTGAACCAATCTAAAAGGCTTCTGGCAGAAATTAATCTCTTTCTTTACTGTCATCCTCTGTTTGCCTTCTCTCCAAAAGGGGTACAGAGACAAGAGGGTCAAGATTCTATACTTTCATTCCTTTTAAACTCTGTGATATCTCTTGGTATGTTTTTGCAAATCTGGGGCTAAGTTGCTTATTTTAATGGTTTAAGGTTTTTTTTTTGTAATTTATCAGTATACACTGTAGTTGATTTTCATGTCCCTTTACCAATTCCTCTCTCCCCCCTCACTGCACCCACTCTTCAACATCATATCTGTTCACTTGTCTTAACAAGTTCAAGGAATTGTTGTAATTGCTATGTCTTCTTCTCCACCCCTCCCATTTGTTTGTATATTTATTGATTGATTGATTTTTAGCTCCCACAAATAAGTGAGAACATGTGGCATTTCTCTTTCTGTACCTGACTCATTTCACATATTATCATTTTTTCTAAGTCTATCCATGTTGCTGCGAATGGTAATATTTCATTCTTTTTTATAGCAGAGTGGAGTAGTATTCTGTTGTATAAATAAATATACAACATATTCCTTATCCACTCATCTGATGATGGACATTTGGGCTGGTTCCAACTCTTGGCTATTGTAAATAGTGCTGCAATAAACATTGGAGTACAGGTATCCCTTCGACATGATGATTTCCATTCTTCTGGGTATATTCCCAGCAGCGGGATTGCTGGGTCACGTGACAGTTCTATCTGTAGTGGTTTGACAAACCTCCATACTGTTTTCTGTAATGGCTGCACTATTTTACAGTCCCACCAACAGTGTACAAGAGTTCCCCTTTCTCCACATCCTCACCAACATTTGTTATTCTCTGTCTTTTTGATAATACCCAGTTTAACTGGCATGAGATGATATCTCAATGCAGTTTTGATTTGCATTTCCCTGACGCTTAGTGATGTTGAACATTTTTTCATGTCTCTTGGCCATTTGTATGTCTTCCTTTGAGAAATGACTATTCAACTCCTTTGCCCATTTTTTAATTAGGTTACTCGTTTTTTTACTGTTAAGTTGTTTCAGTTCCTCATATATTCTGGATATTAATTCTCTTGTCAGATGCATACTTTGTGAATATTTTCTCCCATTCTGCAGGTCATTTTTTCATTCTATTACATGTTTCTTTTGCTGTACAGAAGGTTTTTAGTTTGATATAATCCCACTTGTTTATTTTTCTTTTTGTTGCCTGTCCTTTGGGGATCTTCTTCATAAAATCTTTGCCCAGTCCTACTTCCCGAAGCGCTGCCTCTATGTTTTCATTTTCGAGTTTTATAGTTTTGAGTCTTATGTATAATTCTTTAATCCATTTTGAATTGATATTGATATATGGTGAGAAGTACAAGTCTAGTTTCATTCTTCCATATATGTATGCCCAGTTTTCCCAGCACCACTTACTGAAGACACTGTCTTTTCCCCATTGTATGTTCTTGCTGCCTTTGTCAAAGATCAGTTGGCTGTAAGTCTGTGGGTTGATTTCTGGGTTCTCTGTTCTGTTCCATTGGTCCAAGTGTCTGTTTTTATACCAGTACCATGCTGTTTTGGTTATTACAGCTTTGTAGTATATTTGAAGTCAGGTAGTGTTATGCCCCTGGGTAGTTTTTATTGTTTGGTTTTTGTTGTTGTTGCTCAAGATTGCTTTGGCTATACGAGGTCTTTTGTTGTTCCATATGAATATTAGGATTTATTTTTCTATTTCCATGAAGAATGTCATTGGTATTTTGATGAGGATTGCATCAAATCTGTAGATTGCTTTGGGTAGTAAGGACGTTATCACAAGGTTAATTCTTCCAATCCAAGAGCATGGGATGTCTTTCCATATTTCTGTGTCTTCTTTAATTGTTTTCAGCAGTGATTTGTAGATCTTATTGTAGACATCTTTCAGCTTCTTGGTTAAATTGATCCCTAGATTTTTTTGGGGGGGGTAGTGACTATTGTAAATGGGCTTGCTTTCTTTTTTTCTTTTTCTGTTAGTTCATTGTTGGAATATTAAAAAGCTACTGATTTTTTTGTGTGTTGATTTTGTATCCTGCAACTTACTGAAATTGTTAATCAGCTCTAAGAGTTTTTTGGTAGAGTCTTCAGGTTTTTCTATATATAGGATCATGTCATCTGCAAACAGGGACAGTTTTCCAATCCAGATGCCCTTTATTTCTTTCCTTTTCCAATCCAGGTGCCCATTATTTCTTTCTCTTGCCTGATTGCTCTGGCTAGTACTTCTAATACTATGTTAAATAGGAACGGTGAGAGTGGGCATCCTTTTCTTGTTCCTGTTCTTGAGGGACCCATTCACGATGATATTGATGGTGAGTTTGCTATATATGGCTTTTCTTGCATTGAGATCTTTTCCTTCTGTACCCAATTTGCCAAGAGTCTATCATGAAGCAATGTTGAATTTCATCAAATGCTTTTTCTGCATTTATTTAAATAATCATATGGTTTTGGTCCTTGATTTTGTTGATGTGGTATATCACAATTATTGATCAGCATATGTTGAACCACCCTTGCATCTCCGAGGTGAATCCCACTTGATCATGGTGTATAGTTTTTTTGATGTTTTACTGTATTCTGATTGAAATTATTTTGTTGAGGATTTTGCATCTATGTTCATCAGAGATATTGGACTGTAAAGATACTTGTATCTTTGTGTGGTTCAGGTATCAGGGTGATGCTGGCCTCATAGAATGACTTCAGGAGAATGGACTGTGTTTCAATTTTTTGGAATAGTTTGAAGAGAATTGGTATTAATTCCTCTTTAAAGGTCTGGTAGAATTCAGCAGTAAAGCCATCCAGTCCTGGGCTTTTACTTGTTGGGAGACTGCAGATTACTGCATCAATCTCATTGTTTGTTATTGTTCTGTTCAGGTTTTCTATTTCTTCTTCATTCACTCTTTGTAGTCTGTATATGTCCAAGAATTCATCCATTTCCTCCAAGTTTTCAAATTTGTTGGCATATAGTTGTTTATAATAGTCTCTAATGATTCTTTGTATTTCTGTGGTATTGGTTGTAATGTCTCCTTTTTCATTTCTAATTTTGTTATTTGGGTCTTCTCTCTTTTTTTTACTTAGCCTAGCTAATGGCTTGTCTAGTTTTTTTTTAATCTTCTCCAAAAACCAACTTTTTGCTTCATTAATCTTTTGTATCATTTTTGGGGGTCTCTGTTTCATTTAGTTCTCTCAGGTCTTAATTGTTTCTTTCCATCTACTATTTTTGGGATTGGATTGTCATTGTTTTCCTAGTTCTTTGAGGTGTAGCATTAGGTTGTTTATTCAAGGTCTTTCTGTTCTTTTGATGTAAGTGCTTATTTTTTATTATTCATTATAAGCATATTATTATTACAAATTGTGATTTTTCTTTATGCCCTCTACCCAACCTGTCCCTCTCCAACTGCCCCCCCCCCCCATCTCTAGTATCCTTAGGTTTGTTTTCCTCCTCTGAAAGTTGAATGTATTGTTTTGGTCTTTTCTTTCTTTTTTCCTTTCTTAGCACCTAGTTATAAGTGAGAACATGTGATGTTTCTCTTTCTTTATATGACTTATTGCACTTAACATAATTTTCTCTAGACTCATCCATGTTTCTGCAAATGGCACAATTTCATTCTTTTTTATGTCAAAGTAGTATTTCATGGTGTATATATACCACATTTTCCTTATTCAGTGATCCATCAGTGGACATTTGGGTTGGTTCCATATTTTGGCTATTGTAAATAGAGCCACAGTGAACATGGGCATGCAGGTATCCCTTCAACATGATGATTTCCATTCCTTTGGATATATGCCTAGTAGTGAGATTGCTGGATCATATCATAGTTCTATCTGTAGTTGTCTGAGGAACCTCCATACTGTTTTCCATAATGGCTGTACTAATTTACAGTCCCACCAACAGTGGAGAAGAGTTCGCCTTTCCCCGCATCCTCACCAGCATTTGTTTTTCTTGGTTTTTTTAATAATGGCCAGTCTAACTGGGGTGAGATGATATCTCAAAGTGGTTTTGATTTGCATTCCTCTGATGACTAGTGATGTTGAGCATTTTTTCATATACCAGTAGGCCATTTGTATGTCTTCCTTTGAAAAATGTCTAATCATCTTCTTTGCCCATTTTTTAACTGTACTATTTTTTTTTTTTTTTTTTTTTTTTTTTTACTATATAGTTGTTTGAGTTCTTTATCTCTCCTGGATATTAATCTCTTCTTGCATGTATAGTTTGCAAATATTTTCTCCCATTCTGTAGGTTGTCTTTCAGCTCTATTGATTGTTTCCTTTGCTGTGCAGAAGGTTTTTAATTTGATGTAGTCCCATTTGTTTGTTTTTTCTTTTGTTGCTTGTGCTTTGGGGTTCTTATTCATAAAGTCTTTGCCCAGTCCTACTTCCTGGAGTGTTACCCCTATGTTTTCCTTCAGTAATTTTATGGCTTCAGGTCTTATATTTAATCCATTTTGAGTTGATTTTGGTATACAGTGAGAGGTGAAAGTCTTGTTTCATTCTGCTGCATATAGATCCAATTTTCCCAGGACCATTTATTGAAGAGGCTGTCTTTTCCCCAGAATATGTTCTGTTGCCTTTGTCAAAGATCAGTTGGTTGTAAGTGTGTGGGTTGATTCCCGGCTTGTCTATTCTATTCCATTGGTCTGAGTGTCTGTTTTTATGCCAGTATAATGCTGTTTTAGTTACAATAGCTTTGTGTATAATTTGAAGTCAGGTAGGGTTA